ACTGCTGTGACCTTGGGCAGTTTTCTTTTCTCTAAAATGGGAATAAGGAGAGTGTTTTCCTCAAAAGGAAGGGGGGCATAAATGCAAAATAGAGCTCTTGGAGTAAATGCAAATAAACAGTGGCGGTTTCGTCTTACTAATTAAACAGTCATGCTGGACAGAGGCTGCCTCCCTGCAAACCTACCGATGGCCACCCCTCAGGCAGGCGCCTATCTGGATGTCCTCATATGTGCACAGCAGAGGTGCACCGGCCCCCAGAGATCCCCTAACATCGCACCGTGGGGGAGGGGGCCCACTCCCTGGTCACTTGAAGACTATGGTGTCTCCTTGCTGGCCGTGATCACCTGTGTGTGAGTGTTAAGCGTGGCAGGACGTGAGGCAGACGGGGGTCAGGGGGAGGGAGGAAGGGGGTCAAGACCCCAGATACCCTCAGCAAGCGGCACAGTTTTGCCACGGGCCGTTCCCAGCTGTGGCCCCAGGGATGATGGGCCCCCTGGACGCCGTGGGATGAGACCAAAGGGCCAGGTGGCTGCGAACTCCGTATCTGGCCCCCTCAGATGGCCAGGGTGGCTGGGGTGGGCCAATGTGGGGGAAGATGCCGAGCTGGGCCTTGCAAGGACTCCTTAGCTTCGGGGAGTTCGGAAGGGATGATGCAGGATTGTCCTCGTTGAAAGCTCATGGTCCACCCTCCACTGCTGCTAGTGTGGGGGGGCCTGCCCTGCAGCTCTGGAAGCCCCTGGATGTTCTCGGATCCTTCTGTGGGAGTCCCGACTCCAGCCACAGGGAGAGGGCTGGAAGCTCCCCTCCTCTCTAGCCTTCTTCTTCAGCCAGAGACCTGATGACAGTGCCTGGAGCCTGGCCCCCTGCTTCTGTGCTCCGGACAAGCCAGCCACAGGGGTTTGGTCCCAGGTGTTCCTCCTCCTGCTGTGTGACCTCAGCATCCTGGCCCTCCAGGGGTGGGTGGCACCCAATTGCTGAGGTCCCCTTGGGCTTGGCTGTGTGAGAAGGGCTCCATGATTTGAGCTCTTTTTTATCCATCCGGGTCCCCTGCTCTGGGGCGTGGAGCCCAGGAGAGAGGACACTCGCTGGGCAGATGCTGAGCAGAGAGTCAGGAGGCCTCTTGGGGCCTCAGTTCCCTACCTGTGAAAAGAGGAAGCTGGGCCCTCGAAGCCGGGGAGCTAGGTTCACCAGGGGTCGGGGTGTGGGAAGGGAGGGGAAGGAAGGTTGCGGCTGGGCTGGGAGGGGCAGGGCGGGAGTGGCCCTCACCTGGGGAGGGGGCGGTTCACAGAAGAGCCATGAGGGCCGGCCCAGGCGTCTGCTCTAGGGATGGGGATTTGGCATCAGAGTGAGGCTTTATTATGTTTCCTTTTTAATTACGATGGTCTTGGCTCCTACAAGAGCAGCTTTTGTTGGGGCAGCTTAGGAGAGGGAGGGAGGCAGGGCTGGCCAGCCTGGGGCTGGAGGGACTCCATGGGAAGGGGCAGCACTCAGAGCCCCCTCTCAGTTCCCTGGGAAGGGGGGTGCGAGGCATGAGAGAGAGGACAGCTCTGGTTCGGGGGTTGGATGTGGGCGAGGAAGCTGAGTTTGAGCCAGACACTTGTCCCTGCTCCGCTTCTTTGCCAAGCTCCAGATTCTGACACGCAACACTGCAGATTCCTGACCACCCTATGCCTTCGATGGCCCTTGGGAATCTCAAGTTCAATATCCACTCCCCCTAAACTGACTCATATTCTGGGTTCTCCATCTCAGCAAACTCATTCATTCAACAAGTATTTATTGACCACCTACTGTGTGCCAGAACCTACTTAGGTGCTTGGGGTACATCAGTGAACAAACAGACATAAATGTCCTGTCCTTGTGGTGCTGACCGGCTGGTGCTTTTCTATTCATGCATTTGTCCTCGCAGCTTCCAGGAAGGTGGGATTTTGCTGTGAGCCTGCCCAGTACTCACGACAAAGCTTGGTACACAGAAAGCTCTTAGGAAATGTTTCCTTACTGAAGACGGAAAGACCCATCTGGAAGGCAGGTGGAGCTGAGGGTACTTGGGGCTAGAGAAAGGTGTGGATGGAGTCTCACAGGCTGCTAACATCGGGGCTGGGGAAGAGATGGCTAACTTGCCTTCGTGCGTCTGGTATGATGCTGGGTCACTTGTCCCCAAATGCATGTTATTTTGTGTTTCGAAAAAGCAGATAAAATCTTCAAATAGGGCACCTGGGTGGCTCAGTCGGTTAAGTGTCGGCCTTCGGCTCAGGTCAGGATCCCAGGGTCCTGGGATTGAGCTCCGCATCGGGCTCCCTGCTCAGTGGGGAGCCTGCTTCTCCTTCTCCGTCTGCCCCTCCTCTCCGCTCTTGCTCTCTCTCTCTCAAATAAATAAATAAAATCTTTTTTTTAAAAAAGGAAAATCTTCAAATAAAAAAGAGGTTAAATAAGCCAAAACGTTAACAACAACAAAAATCCCCAGTATGAGATTTTTTAAAATTGCATTTGTCTTTTTTCTCCCTAAAAAATAAAGCATGTAAATTTTGGACTCAGACAGTCACTTCTACTGTTTCCCAGAAGTGTGACCTTGGGCAAGTCACTTTGCTTCCCCGAGTCTGAATTTCCCCATCTGTAACCTTGCAGGGTTGAATGGGGCAGCGACTGTGCATTTGGGGTGTTATGACCGCACTCACGGCCCAGGAGTAGTGCCAGTGAGGCCTGTGGAGGGAAGAAGCTCTTCACCATGGGACCTTCACAGATCCCACCCACCACAGACACCTGCACCCCTGCAGCTCTGGGGTCTCAGCTCTGTAATGCAGGGGTGTCCTTGAGGCTAGTGGCCTTCACATTGTGGCCCCCTCCTCACTTTCCAGGCCCCAGGTGAGAAGTCACCTGGGACGCCAACGACTTCCTGGGCCTTAGGGACAGTCAGGACTCCTGGGCTTTCTAGTCCTTTGGACCTGGACCTCTCCAGCCTCCTTCTAGCTGGGTTCTCTGAATAGCAGGGGCCAGGCACTGCTGAGTCTCAGGGAAATGGAAAGCCAGCTCAGGCTTGCAACAGAAGAAGTTACCCCTACAATGCTGGTTTGGGGGAAGGGGGAAGGTTCCCCTGGTCCCACCCAGAATTCCCACCTCCCTGGTCCAGGGTGAGGATCTCTGTTCAGATCCTCAGAACATCTTTCTTGGACCATTCTAAATAAAATAGCACCACCCCTGCTCCTCCCGGCTCCCCAGTTCCCATTGGCATGTTGTTGCCTGGGCTACACACATGGGCTCTGGAAACTGCCTGGGCTGGAGTTTGCTGATCATGGACTGTGGACTTCTTGAAGACGGGGTCTTTGGTCTGTTCACTGCTATCTCACAGCTCCACTTTCCCCATGTTACAGATGGGGAAACCGAGGCTCAGAGAGGACAACTGGCTCTCTGGAGACCACACAGCAGATCCATGGCAGCAAAAGAACTTTTAAATCATGTTCTCTCGGGAGCGCCCCCACCTCCATTTCTCCTGCTGCAGGTAGTCAAACAGCCCCTCCGCCCCCTTCCCCTCGCCCTAGACAACGTGCCCATCACTCAGGTCTCCAGAAAATGCTGGTCCTCCGGAGGGAAGCCGTGACTTAAGGCTGGGCCCAAGCGCTGATGCAAGAGAGGGGAGCAGGTGGAGGCCATGTGAGGGGGGCGCGCTTCCCGTCCTGCCAGGTGCCCCATCTGGACAGGGAGGCTGCAACCTGATCTGTGGGCCGGAGAGCTGGGCTATTTTGGGGGTGGCACCGGAGGCCCAGGCATCATGACTGGGGGAAGGGGTGTCTCCTGCCCCTGCTGCAGGCTTAGGAGGTAGGCCCTGGGCCCCGCGCGTGGACAGAGAAATCACACGCCTGGGTCCTTGTCCCAACTCTGCCACCATCTTGCTGTGTGACCTTGGGCAAATCGCTCTCTCTCTCTGGGCTTCATATTATTTGGAGATCTCACGTCCTATCCAGCTCTGGGCTTCCATCATCTTGCCAACGAAGAAGGAAAGCCTCATGCTCTAAGGTTCTAGGGACAAAGGGGGATGGTTCAAATATTTTAAGATTAAAGGAAGAATTCTAACTTTCTAAGACTAAGAGTAAAAAGAGAGATTCAAACATTCTGGGTTTTAGGGAGGGATGATTAGGTAGCGGAGACTTGAGAAAGGGAGCTCCCTAGGTCCCTGGTAGCAGTGTTCTTGGGGTAGTTACTGTCACTACGCGGTCCAGAAGGCGTGGTTGCCTCCACAGCACAGCCCGTGGGAGCGGAGAGCCCCGGGGAGTGGCGGGGGGTGGGGAATAGGAGGGTTAGCAGAGGCCAGCCTGGCGCATCCTGGCGCTGAGCGGCGGCCGGGAGAGCAGCTCATACCCTGCCCGCTCTGGCTTTTCCGCCAGGACCTACCCAGCGGCTGCTGAGCTGCTGTTTTGGGGTCGTGTCTGCCAGAGGCACAGAATGAGGGTTAACGTGTACATGGGAGCCCCTGAGGATGGCTGGGCTCCTGCCCCTCCCTTGTAGCCTTCCGGGGGAGGGGGTGCTGGCTGCCTTCCTGGGGTGGCTTGGACCCTAGGGTGGGCACACAATCTCTCACTGAACGTTGTGGAGCCAGGGCTTCTGGGAGGAAGGCGAGAGTGGGTCTGGCCCGGGCGAGGTCTGGGGTGGTGGCATGTGGGAGAAGCTCCGAGGTTGCCCACCCGACCCATGTCCCATGCCCCTGGCACACGACCTGCATGACCCTTCTGGAACCCCTGCTTCTTCATCTGTAAGAGGGGGACGACACTGCTGCATTAAATGAGCTCCACAATGGACAGTGGCTTGCAGACCCGACGTTCATGGGAGCGTGCAGGGGAGAGATGGGGGAGACCGACAGGGAGGGGAGGAGGGACTTGTCAGCTGAGGCGCCTCAGAACCGAGACCCCCAGGGCCTCCCACGGCGGCAGGGCCAGGCCTCAGCCCTCCTGTCTTGTGGCCTGGGACTCGGTTCGGGGGGGTGCCCACAGCTGCCTTTCCCTTTGTTCCAGAGTTTTTAAGAATGAAAAATCCCCACTTACCCGTCCCTGAGAAGCTGACTGTGGGCCTGAGTGTAAGAAGCCGACTGAAGATACGATTCTTGGTCCTGAGATGTGGGGCAGACCCACCAGGAGAAACACTTGCATTTCTTCCAGTGACACCGAGACCCGGAGAAGTGGGAGGTGATGCAGGGGGCTGCTGAGCCCAGCATGTCCTGGGGCCACATTATTTCAGGTATGTGTATACACAGGAGTGCTTTCTTAACTTACTGTGTATCATTCTTTTTTTTTTTTTTTTTTGAGAGGGGGAGGTGTGGAAGGGGCAGAGGGAGAGGGAGAGAGAAACTTAAACAGGCTCCGCCCAGCGCAGAGCCCGACACGGGGCTCGATCTCGTGACCCTGAGATCAGGACCTGAACTGAAACCAAGGGTTGGATGCTCAACCTACTGAGCCACGCAGGCGCCCCTGACTGCCTATCATTCTTATCCTGTCACCTATCTATCGTTTCTTTAAATGTAATCTATTGGGCTTCACAAAGGGTTTGATGCAGCTGTAAGGAATATTTATAATGCGAGTGAATGATATAAAACAATCAGAAGTTTCTGCAGCGAGTGTGAACTTTCGAAACCTCTGGATTGGGCCTCCTGGCACTGTGAGAAATGCAAGAACTGTGAGCAAGTCACTCCACCTTTCTAAGCCCCAGTGTCCACGTCTGGAAGTGGGGGAGAGTTGTTCCTGCCTTGTGATGTGGGGATTAGAGGAGGTCCCATTTGCGAAGGGCCTGGTTTGGCACTGGGCTTGGGGATGATGCCCCAGCTGAGGGCAAGGGTCCTCGGAGACGCTTCCTGCAGTTCCTACTTGACTCGTGTGGGAAGTGAGCCATCCAGATAGGCTTCCCCGAGGAGGTGTGGCCTTTGAAGCTGTGCTAAGTGAGGGTCCAGGTGGGAGCCCAGGGAAATAAGATCGGGACGAGGAGCCAAGGCGGTGGGCTCCTGAGTGAGGAGCTCTGGGGAAGTCGAGGAGTTCCTGGTCCAGCCCTGGGCAGGGGAGGGGGGGGGCGGGGGGCTGGGAGGATGGGCTTGCCCGTCTGTCCAAAAGCAGGAGCACATGGAGGGGTGACACGTGCATGATCCCCACAGGTATGAAAACTGTGGCCCACAGCGGGCTCTCGGGCAGCTAGTCACCCTCTTGCCTCACAGAGAGGGGGCGGGCGGAGTCTTGGCCTCACAGTTTCTAGCTTGTGGTGTGTTGGGCTTCATGATAGCAAAATTGAAAGAAAAAAAAACCCCCAACCAAATAAAAATAAAAAACCATAATTTTGAAAAGAAGGCCATGCAAGTCAGAGGGCCAAAGTGACCAGCCTGGGGTGGCATGGCCAGGGCCGGAGCAGGACGGAGCTGGAGTCGGAATCCGGCGGTTCCCACCTCTGCACCCACCATCCTTCTCCTCCTCGGGGCGCTGCCTGCCCAGCGCCCCCTCCCTGGCACTCTCGGCCTTTATTGGGTCCTTAACGGGCTTGGAGACCCGGCACCTGCCACCTTTTCTGTTCTAATTAAAGGCGGATGCTCTGGGGGGTGGACGGGGGGGGCATGTGGGGGCCTCTGGCTCGTGGCCACCCTGGGCGACACATTCCTGGCTCCTGACTCACAGAGAAATGTCTTCGTGTCTCCTCGGCACTTTTGGACCCTGCAGCTGTGGCCACATTCCTCCCCCCCTCCTCCGCCCTCCAGCCGGAGCTGCTGCTAATCACACAGACCCATCCCAGGCTGTGGAGACTGAGGCCCCAGGGGGTGGGTGCAGCTTTCCCAGCTGTGCAGGGCAGAGTCAGGGAGAGGAGAGACCCTCTCGCTAGGGTGTGCTTTTGCCCTCACCTTGGCTTAAGGCAGTGACTCTCAACCGGGTGTATGGTGGGTACGACGTCTGGAGGCATTTTGGGTCGTTGCAACTGTGTGTGTGTGTGTGCGTGTGTGTGTGTGCGTGCGTGTGCTATTCTGTGGGCACCTAGATGGTAAAAGCAGGCTGCTAAACTTCCTAGGTGAACAGGATGCCCCCCACAAGTGCATTATCTGGCCCCAAATGTCAGTGACCCCAAAGCTGAGAAACCTAGGCTAGGGCTAGAGCCGGGGTTTGGTGCCCCATTCTACACGTTCTCCTTAAACCCTGGACTGGGCCCTGGAGACCCTGAAATGGCCCCATGTCAAATCCTGGTGCTCAGGAGCCCCTTCCCCCACCCTGGTCCCGCATGAGAGACAGACAAGGGCCCAGCTCCTTCCAGATCCCCAGAGCAAGGGAACCGAGAGAGGAGCCAGCAGGCGTCTTCCGCTTGAAGAATGGACCCGTGATGTTGAGGAAGGTGTGGGAAGGGCAAGTCGTGTCCTCCCGGGGCCTGGATTTCATGCTCTGGCCAGTGCAGAGCTGAAACCTAACTCTCAGGGCCCTTGGGGCTCCCACGAGCTGGGCTTCTAGACTGGATTTCTGCACAGTGTGGTGGGGGGCCTGACACACCAACGCGAGGGTGGGGCAAGCCAGGCTGCTCTGGCCTGTCGCCTGGTTTTCTAAGAACATGTCACCAGTACCACCCATGTATGTTCGTTTACATATTGTCCGTGGCTCCCTCTACGGTTGCATCAGGGCGACACTGTCTGGCCCTCGAGCCCTGAAGGTATTTTCTCTCTGGCCCCTGACAGGAAAGGTGCGCTGATAGATGGAATTCAGGTGTAAGTCAGTGGCCGGTTGGGGACTGGGAGGAAGGACATTTATCGGGGGGGTGGGGTGTGGAGGTGGGAAGGGCATATCTTAAAGGCAGTTGCTTCTAGTGCGCGGCAGGTCAGGATCTCAAACTGAGAGTCCTCCCTACAGCCTCAGTTTCCCCATGCATAAGTGGCAATCAGCGAACGGTCCGCACAGGGCTGTGCTGAGGCCCGGCATGATGGTGAGTGAGGAGAGAAAGTCTCATGCCTGGGCCCGGCAGCCTGAGCCGGGCTATTTATGGGTTTCCGCCGGGAGGGCCCCAGGCTGCGGGCCGTGTCTGACCTGAATTCTTACACTTACAGGAAATTAGAGCCCTTGGAAGCAGGTGCGCTGGTGATCCCAATGCTCGGGTGGCCGAGAGGGTGATGTAGCTGAGGCAACAGGCTGGGGGGTGGTGTGGAATGGCTGACTGATGGAGGAGGGACCCATCCAGAGGGGACAGGGCTCCCATCCCGCCTTCTTACAGTCCTGAGAGGAAAATAGAATGACTACTACCAGGCACTGGGTTCTTGCTCTGTGCTTTGCTTGTGTTTGCTTAGTTAATCCTCACAACATGCCCATGAGGTGTGATTATCACTTCCATTTTACAGATGGGGAAACTGAGGCTCTGGAAGGTTTACTCACTTACCTGTGAGCATAAAGCAGGTGTTAGAGTCAGGATTTGAACCCAGGAAAGACTGTATAATTCTAATTCTCATGTCCTGTTATCAATATCAGCTGTCTTTGGTCAATGAGGAGGTCTCCAAGAAAATTCCAGAATGTTCTGTGGGTTTTGGCAGTTTCCTGCTGAGGTGGCAGTGGGCACATAGCGGTGTGGGGCAGAGTCAGGGTGTGTGGATGGTCGGCATCTTGGGGGCTAGTCGTGTCCTTCAGTGAGTGCTGGGGGTGGTCCAGGGACTGCCAAGTGTCCGCAGGTCGGGACGGGAGCCTGGGAGGGATGGAGTGATGGGGTCTGACCTGAGGCCAGGTGGGCCGCAGGTGCCCTGGGTTGTGCACCTGTCTGAAGTGAGAATGAGAAGACAGATGCGAGAGACTGAGTGTGTCCAGGGTGTGGGGATGTGAATACATGTGTGTCACTGTGGATGTGAGAGAGGGTGAGTGTGATTGTTTGAACATCTGGGGGTTCACAGGGCAGGATCAGGCCTGGTGTGGCCAAACATGTATTCAGTTTTGGGGACTTCCTTTGTGAAAAATAACACAAAATTATGAATACTAAAGGCTGTAAAATGAGAAAAGAAACCACAACAAATTACAATAGTTTTTAAAGCTGACAGATACCATAAACATTACCAAATCCAGAAAATATCGTAATATTTTTATTAATTAACATCCTGGCTTTCCCTACCTCTTTTTTGGCTTTGACCATCATGTGAACACATTGCTGGGCCCTCGCAGGGTCTTGGAGGGAGCCCATAGCTTAAGCCTCGGGGCGTGTGAGTCTGTGTGGGCAACGTGTGCGTGTGTGTGTGTAAGGGTGCGACCAAGTGTCAGGTTGTGTTTCGCAAAAGAGTGAGAGATGGAGAGCGAGGTTTTCATAGCAGAATGGATCAATGACTATTTGTTGACTGAGTGAAAGAGGCTCGTGTATGTGGGTAAATGTGTACGTAGGATACAAATGTGTGTTTAAGCATGTGTGAATGTGGGGGGGGTGGTAGTGTCTGTGAAGAAAGTGTGTGTATCTGTGTGAGGTTCATTGGGTGTCTTTTCTTTGGCATTCCAGTTTTGGGGAACCTCTCCCTGTCTGTACTCTACCTCTACCCTCTTCCCCACCCCAGGGGCAGATGGGCACAGACACGCTGTGGCATTTGGTCCAGGCCTTTCGGGGACAGGCTTGGTGTGCATAATTCACAGTTCCTTCCCCTGCCCCGCCTCCTTTCCTCCCACTGATGAAATGTCGGTAATTCAATCCACGGAGATACTCAGTGTCCTGGGGAGAGGTTGGCATGGGCTGTGCATGCGTGCGTGTGTGAGAGAGGAGAGAGTGTGAGAGTGAGAATGTGAGTGTATGAGTGTGTGAGAGAGCATGAGGAAGTATGTGAGAGTGTGTGTGAGTGTGAGGCTGTATGTGTGAGAGTATGTGAGTGTGAGAGTGTTTGAGAGAGTGTGTGTGAGACAGAGTATGTCCGTGAGAGAGAGAGAGAGTTCCACAGCATCTGAGCCACCCAAAGAGCATGCTGTTCATATCCTTCCTTGTACAAATGGAGAAACTGAGGCTCGAGGGTAGGGTAGGGATGCATCTGAACAAATTAGTGGGACCAGATTGGGACCAGAATTCAGGTCTCCTGCGGCAATGGTTCCAATTCGACTAATTCTGAGCACTTGCTGGGGGCCAGTTGAAGGGGTGAAGTGTGGTTGGCTGGAAAGAACCATCCCTGACCCGGAGGTGCTTCTAGAGAAGTGAGGGAGTATAGGAGGGCGTCGTGGGAAAGGGGTGATATTTGTGCATGGCAGGGCAGCAGCGAGAAGCAGATAGGGCTGCACCCC